ACGAGTCTGAACCATGCAGGAGTCTTTTAAAACAGTCATTTGTGCTGTCCAGAACACACCGGCCTACATGAGGAACAAAGGTTGCTTTATTTTTGCCTGTTTTTATTTTTATTTTTACTAGTCAACGTGGTGATGCCAATACAGCTGTGGAAATGCAGGCTGTGCCCTATTTTGCCTTATGCATCATCAAGAAAATTGCCAGCTCAATTCTGATTCCAAAATCTTTATTGTGATGATGTAGTTAACAAAAGACACAGCTTGATTTGCAAACACCACCCAGGGCCAGGGATTGGACCAACTGGAAGAAAATGCTGTTTTGAGCCATTGTATTGTCGCTGAAGGAGAACATTCATTAACTGCCAGCATATGGAACATCTTGATGTGGCTTAGTACATTTTCAGAGACAGTATTGGAGGGACGGATTCTTAGACCTCATTTGGTGCAGTCTCCCACACAACTACAAAGTCTTTTTCTAGTACCTACTACTGTTTCTTTACACATTCTTCTAACATTCCAGAAACCTTTTCTTCTTTTTTGAGACAGAACCCTAGTAGGTAACCTTGAACTTGCTATATAGTGAAAGCTGGCTTCAAGCTTACTCACCTACTATGTTTAGTTTATTACCAGTGTATACTACCATGCCCTGTTTCAATACTTGTTATTTCTAAACTAACTTCTCTGCTAGATAATAAATTTTACTCATGTTTTCCTGTATTTGGACAAAATCTGCCTCCTAAGAACTTCTTCCTATGGTTTTAAACAAAAAAGGGGTACAAATGTGTAATACATATGTGCTCTCTCTGCTTCTAAATATGTATATGTATCTATGTATGTACATGTATGTATCCATGCATGTACACGTATGTAAATGTATATATTTACATATGTATATATTCATGCATCCATTGGTATGTGTTTATGTGTGTATACATATACATACTGTGTATATATGTATAGGATTTACAGTAAGTGAATCATAATGGTTGTAAAGAAGGAGCTAAAATTTGAGCTGAAGAATGTTTTGTTTTTTTGTTTTTTTTGGGGGTCCGGATGTGGGCCTTAACTCTGGGCCTGGGCGCTGTCCCTCAGCTCTTCAGCTCAAGGCTAGCGCTCTACCACTTGAGCCACAGCACCACTTCCGGCTTTTTTCTTTTTGCTCATGTGGTGCTGAGGAATCGAACCCAGGGCCTCATGCATGCAAGGCAAGAACTCTACCACTGAGTCACCTTCCCAGCCCCGAGCTGAAGAATGTTAAATTTTGACATTCTTCTCAGAAGGGTTGATGTTGGTGGGCAACTGCAAATTTTCATATCTGGTAGGAAAACACAGATCTTGAATCAAAGATTTGAGAAGTAACTTATTTGGGAGATGATTCTAGAAAGCATGAGGAAAGTGAAGAAGAGAACAACAGAGAAAGGAGGGAATGAATCAAGTGTGAATTACCTCTTAGATGACCACTGGTGACCACACATGAGTCTGGGAGTTCTCTGACCTGAGGAGTAAGGAGCGAGGGTTTCTATAGCTTGAGTCCAGTGTGTATAAAATAAATAAATGCTTTCACAGCTGGTAGGAAAAGTCTAGACCAGATACATGTTGGTCTGGTTTGGCTCAGAAGCAGAGCTTGAGTCAAAGAATCAAACAACCATTTTGGGAGGAGTTGCCTTGGAAAGCAGCAGTTAGGGAGCAAAGTCTCTGAAAGCAAAGAGGACAGCGTTAACTTCCTGATACTATCTACCTGCTTGCCTCTCACACAGGGAAAAAAGGCTGCAGATACTCCAGAGAAGATTCCAGTAAAAGAAAGTTCTCCAGAGAATACACACACAATTAGACCAATGATCACATTAGCAACAACAACATATACATACACACATACACACACATACACATACACAGAGCAAAGTGTGAAGGACATGGGTGGGTGACTGATAATTCATTAAGTAACACATGGATATTTAAAAAATAGATCTTATATCTTGTAAAATAGACTTGTAAATGGGGTTTTTAGTCAAAATCATACAAGATAAAAGTTCCTTTGGACTGGGGAAATAGGCCAACGGTAGAGCACTTACCAGCATGCATAAAGCTATGGATCTGATCTCCTTTACTTATATACATATCTTATATATATCTAATATATGCATATGATATATATATATATATATATATATATATATATATGTACACACATACTTTGACAAGATTGTCAAGTCATCTTGCATACTTGCACAGAAGCAGACACAGGCTTGGGTTCCAAGTCATCACTAATGAGCTTTTAAACACTGTCTGAGGGGCTGGGAAGGTGGCTCAGTGGTAGAGCGCTTGCCTTGCATGCTCGAGGCCCTGGGTTTGATTCCTCAGCACCACATAAGCAAAAAGAAAAAAGCCAGAAGTGGCGCTGTGGCTCAAGTGGTAGAGCGCTAGCCTTGAGCTGAAGAGCTGAGGGACAACGCCCAGGCCCAGAGTTCAGGCCCCATGACTGGACCCAAAAAAAAAGTAAACACTGTCTGAGTTTGGGCAGGGGTAAAATGGACAGAACCTCATCTGCCTTAGCTCCTCAAAACCAAGCATTGAGCATAAAATAATATATATGAAAAGCCTTTGAAATGAAAAAAAGCAGTAAACAACATATAAGGCACAACCATATCTACTCATTTGAAATAAGAATTGTAGTTCACATTTTTGAGAAATTTTACTTCCTGTAACTTGAAGCTTTCATCAAGAAAAAAAAATATATATATATAAAACAGTAGATCACAGTGCATTTTAGAATTTTCTCTGGAGCCTCATTCTTTGTTGTTGTTGATAGGTAGATGGCAGGAAAATGTGTTGATGATTCTGCTTAGATATAATGAGCCACTGATTATTTGTGATTGTGTATCCTTGAGTTATTTGGAAGTCTACAATAGTAGCTTCCTGGTGAAAATTTCATGAAGAATCATCTTTGTAGCAGTAAACATAAACTGACTTTCAAAAACAAACAAGGTCAAGGAGAAAACAAGAAAAATTTTCTTATTTTCCTCACTGACCATAGTCAGACAATAAATGATTTTGAGTTAAAATACTGAAAGGTATTAAAAAGGAGACTTCTGGATTTCCCATCTTGATTGGCTTTGATTGGAAACACATCTTAGATGTGAGTTTAACACCGAAGTTCTGAGTTTTTAATCTCTTCTCCCCTAGTCAAGTTTCTCATACAAGAATCTTCCATTCATTCTTTGTCAGAAACACCAGTAGCATCCAAACTACTCAGGAACATACTAGAAGAGACTCATCTTTTCAATTTGTTTTGTTAAATGACAGCATAGAAGAAGAAAAAGAAACTTTAAAAATTTGTAGGAACTACACTGTGCCTGTCATTGAGCTAAGCATATCACAAAGATTCTAATATTTAACAATTCTTTGTTTTAGATACCATTTTTATCTCCATTTTATACATGACAACATTGAGCCATAACAAGGCTCCTTCAGTGTCATCTTTACAGAATTTAACTACTAGGAAATGGCAGGGCTAATGTATAGTTCAGGATTGTATAACAGTGTTTGAAAGCACCTTCAGAGCACACTTGAAGGCTGAGCAAGTCAGATTTTATTAAGCAAACAGTTATGACATCAAATTACTTTTTTTGGAATGGTGCTGTTATCCATTCAAGAGAAACATGTTGGGCACCTACCTATTCAGGAGGCTGATATCTGAGGGTTGAGGTTTAAAGCCAGCCCAGGCAGAAAAATCTGTGAGATTCTTATCTCCAATTAACTACCAAGGAGCGGCTCAACTGTTAGGATGCTAGCCTTGAGCAAAAAGTTCAGGGACAGAGCCCAGGCTCTGAGTTCAATCCCCAGGACTGGTACAAAAAAAAAAAAATCCACCTCTCCATCGCTATCTTTACCAGGTCACTGTGATGAGTATGTGTTGTCATATGAGATCTATGAACCCATGCATTTAGTTTTCCCTTCCAATGGATATGATCAGCCCAAGTGTCACCTGCAATTGTCTTGAATGCCAAATCCTTTGCCATCAATCAATAAGCTCCCCTTCCTGTTTTTAAACCATCTTGCTTACAGACAGGAAAAAAGTAAGTTCAACATAAAATGTCCTAGTTTTACCTTGGACTTATGTGCCAATCATAAATAACTCACTAACAACAATGATCAACATATATCAAGATCCAAAGTTGAGACACCATATAAGGTATTTCATTGCCTTATCTTTGTGGAAATTCTTGAGTTCTCTATGTGAAAAGAATTACTATTAATCCCCAATTCTACAGAGGAAACCCAGGTTTAGGCAGGTGAATTACCACACCTATGGTGACTTGTCTACTTGTGTCTACCTTGCACAAGAACCCAACTGTGGTAAGCCCTCAATGAACTAAAACAGCCAAGTCTGAGATCACCTCATTCATTTGGTGAAAATGTGATACAGACATTATCTCAGAGTTTACTTTGCTCTTTCAAACAGCTAGAAATTAGTTGATGCAGATGAAAATGACCTGTGCTACAAAAGGTTTTGTTAAAGACAAACACAGCAGTAATTACTAGGATTAAATTTTGCAGGCCATATAAAACTCAAATTTTTATTTTTTTTTGTAGTGCTAGGGGTTGAATCCACATATAGATACATCCCTAATCCCTTGAGTTCTTGGTTTGAAAGTTTAATATATTATATTTGGTTCTCTGTGTGTACAAAATCCTAAAAATACTGAAATACTATTATTTCACCATAATATATACTTACTTTAATAATGTACATTCTGAAAGCAAACATCCTAAAATTAGAAATCTGTGGCTTCAATGTTACCATGTCTACACCTACCCCCTTTGACTACCTGTGCTCATAAACATTTGCACTAGCATGTAATTAACCATGGGAACTACTCCTTCAATGGAATTGGAGGAGGAGCCACAGACATCCTGTCCAATTCCATCATTTAGCAAACAGCACAGCTGTGTATACAACACGTGTTTAATTTCATGATGTGTTCCTCAGCTAGACACTGTACCTTGACTGTTGTCAATATTTGATGCTTGTGGTGGTTCCAGAACATCATCAGGATGTGGGACACAGAGTCCGTGGAAAGGCCCCAAGTCGAAGCATTCATGGAGCAATGTCATGTTCACTCTTGAACACACACTCATGAACCCGACAGCTACACCTTCCACCTGGAACATATGAAACACTATGTTACTCTATCAAACCTCAACTGACTCTCATCACAAAACATTGATGAGCACACAGCATACTGGTACACTTCGAATTGTTTAAGGGATGGTGAACTATCTTCCCTAAGCAGTTCTAATGTCTGGTATAATGTATGCCACAAACAATGCATTCAAAGAAATATCCAAGATTATGTTAAGTGAAATGAACCCCAAGATATGGACACAAGAGGTTTTTCTTTGTTGTTGTCGTTGTTTTTAATGTACTATGTGATTTTTTTCTTTTTTTCTCCTATGATATATCCCTGTTGTCACTGTATTTGATTTTTGTGCCTTGCATCTTGTATATATATTTATCTTATTTGGGGAGGGGAAGGGGAATAACAAAACACTGAAACAAGGACACAGGAGGACCTATTGCAACAATAAGACAAGACACTATGTTGTAAGTGAACCTTACAACTTTGAGGGTGAGGAATAGGGGAGGTAGGGAAGGGAAGGGATAGTAGGAGGAAAAAAAAGGAGGGGGTAACAATGCCAGACAAGAAATGTACTCATTACCTTACTGATATAACTGTAACCTCTCTGTACAGCATCTTCACAAGAAAATATTTTTTAAAAGAAATATCCAACAAGTTACCACTGTGGACAATCCCAGAGATTGATCAGTAACTTAAGGGAGTTGACAGAGAGCTCTATTGGAACTTTACACTTGTGCCCTTTCTTCCCTAATCCCTCTGCCTATCCTATATCTTCTGCCATCTGGTGTCCTTTTTATCCCATCATAAGCCCAGGCCTCCTGCACACTTTCTCCCTCCCATCAGTGTCAGTTTGATTGGTTCCTAAGTCAGGCAGAATAGTCATAGAGACTGGCTCTTGATCAGGGAGAAACCCATTTTCTCTCACATTCCTTTATTTATTGATTGGATGATCTGATGGGAGGAGAGATGAGAAGAGGTTTGATGGGAAGTGGATGAGTGAAATAAAGTTGAGTAAGGCCAGGCTGATTCAGCAGGTGGATGTGAACTCCAAATGAATCACTCCTCAGCACACTAACAGACACTGAATTAAAGCTCTTAGTTAAGTGCTCACAAATATTAGTCTTTCTATACAGGTTAAAAGTTTAAAAAGTTGAGTAGCTGATCTAGACCTATGACTAACACCAAAATATTATAAGCTAACAAAAAATTTTAGTTCTGCAGTATGTCATTTTCATTCTATGCTTCATTTTTTTCTGCAAGGAAAGTATTTAAAATTTACAGAAAGGTGGTGTAGTTTTTAAATTCCACACAACTAATTCGTTGATTATAAGTGGGTCTTACGCAAATTCTAGTTGACAGATTAGATTGTTTTTACTAGATTGAACACTCTCAAACAAACAAAAAACAGTATTTACTAAGTACCGTCCCTCAACTATTCAGACACCATTTCTTCTTCTTCTTTTTGTGCCAGTACTGGGACTTGAACTCAGGGCCAGGATATTGTCCCTTAGTTTTTTCACTCAAGGATGGTGTTCTACCATTTGTGTCACAGCTCTACTTCTGGCTGTTTGCTGATTAACTAGAGATAAGAGTCTCAGAATTTTCTACTTAGGCTGGCTTTGTACTGAAATCATCAGATCACAGCCTTCTGAGTAGCTACTCAAGATTATAAGAATGAGACACTGGTGCCTGGAACAAACATCTTTTTTTTTTTTTGGTTACTGGTGGGACTTGAACTCAGGGTCTGGGCACTGTCCCTCAGCTTTTTTGCTGAAGGCTAGTACTTTACCATTATGAGCATAACTTCCGGTTTTCTGGTAGAGATAAGAGTCTCATGGACTTTCCTGCCCAGGCTGTCTTCAAACCGCAATTCTCAGCTCTCAGTCTTCTGAATAGTTAGGATTACAGACATGAGCCACTGGTATCCAGCTCAGAGATCACTTCTTGGGACAGTCATACCATTCAGAAAGTAGAAGAACTCAACAATTACAGGCACTCCTACTTCAAACAATGCAGCATCCTCACATAACTGCCCAGAGAAAATGGCCAGTGCCCCAGCATCCTAAAACAGACAATCTGTAATAGGCTTAATCTTTTAGATAACATAGGAAAAAAATAGGTATTCAACTTGGTTCTCCAATATGTCTTCCAGATAAAAGCCTGAAGCACATATATTTGGAAAATAAATGTGAAGTGCATTTTTACTTCACCCAAAAATGAAATTCAAGAGAAATTCAAAAATTCATTTTTCCCTGAATATTCCTTTCATTATAGGACCTCCTAAATGATACTTGCAGTATAAAGACTGGATTTACACAGCTGTTTTATAAAGCCATTGACACTTTAATAAAAGTCCAAAATAAACATTTTAATTTTTTTCCCAAATAACAAGTGATTGTTTGTCTTGTTTGCACTTGTGAACAAAGACTGTGTATCTGCAGTTGTCTGGCTTCACTGTAATTTTAGGCCCAAGACTCAGCAGACGCTGATTAACCAATCCATCTACCATATGTGCAGAAAGAGACGGCCAGCCTCACTCCCGGCAGGGAAAATTGGCATCCATCTTGGTTCACATGGAGATGTCCTTCTAATCTACAGCCATGCTGGCGCAACGAAACTTCCATGGCCTGAAATACCTTTTGCTGGCTTCACGGCGAGCTGCGTGTGCATGATAAGAATGTATTATTTATAAGACTGCTGTTAGTAATGAGCTATTACACTAATGGCTCATTGTGTTTGGAATTTGATTTCAAATGGCATGAATCACACATTTTGATGAAAATGAGAAAAACATGTTTTGCCATTAGGAACAAAGATTTAGCAGTCTCCAATTCTACAACCTGTTATATTCCCATCACTCATCCGGAGTTGTAACAACCAACAAAAGTTTACAATGAGAGATGACCATGGAACAAGGACATAAAAGGGAAGTGCATGATCCTTGTTTGGGATTTTCTTCCAAATATCTGATCTGAGAAGCACTGTTCTTAAAATAAACTGGCAGGAGTCACCAAAAGCATCTTGGTGTACACATGTGTTTTCTGGAAAGGAGTGAATGGATTTATGGCCTTTCTTAGTTGCACAATGAAAAGGCACTGAGTGCTGGCTGCTGTCTACTTTCAGGTGACAGAGGTCCTTTCCGCCATGAAAGTGTCTTCAATTATCTTGGACTGGAAGACAAAACTGAAGTTTTCATGTTGATCCTGTTTATCAAGTGGGGATCCACATGATGATACCTTACAGAAGACTTAGATAACATTGAAAAATGAAGGCACTAGCCTTAGATTCACACACAAGCCCACTTATAAATTCATGTGCATATTAATGCCTGTACTTCCATTCTAAATGTCCAATGGTCACCCATCTATTTTGGTTGACACTACTCCACAATGAGGGTTTTGTCTTCTTTGTGACCACTGCTGGCTTTGATCCTTTCTTCCTGATGCCAAGCACATGGCTGACCTGGCAGACTCGCCCCCGCCTGCAGGTCAGTGGTGCTTATTTGGACCCACGGCTGCCCAGGCCCTGGATGATGCCAAAGCAGACTTTCTGCCCATCTGTCTCTAGGAGCCGCCCTTGGCCTCCAATTGCTCTCCATTGAAATCTCAGCTTGGAATAAACACCAGATGTCAAGGTAAGCTTGGGCTACAGTAATGACAAGGACCTTGCAGCAAAGTCATAGCTCAAAACTCCTCCAAAGTAGCCAGCAAGACAAAGAAAGTTCTTGCAGCTTAAAAGTCTTTAATTAGTCAATGGTTTTGCACATGGCTTAGGCACAGCTCTAAGGCATTCATTCTACACACATGGTCTGCAACTGCCATGGGCTGGTTTGGGAAGAGACAGACAATACACCTTACTTCATTATCGCTGGTCAATGTCTAAAAGTGTGTTATGCTAGTAAATGTTCAATCCGCATGGGTGGGAGGGGCAAAAGCCCAGATTTGTAGTCAATTTCTGCCATATAAATACTGTTATGGAAAATTTTAAGCTTCTGATGTAATATCACTGAATATAGAGCTAGGAAGAGATGTACAATAGCATGTCATCAAAAATATGGCTTCTCTATGGAGATAACAGTCCAAAAAAGTCTCTAGAACACAGATAACAGTAAAATAATTGGAAGGAATAAACTTTAAGCATTTACTAACTTAGCTTTAATATAATTATACCTGTTTATATAGTTTTTTTAAAAAATAATGCTGTGTTTAATAAGCATGCAAAGTCTCTGTGGTTTTAGCACCTAGCTCTCTAAAGCAAGAACACACAGACTCTAATATACTTCTACTCTAGAACTCCCTGAGGAAAACAGGAGATAATGGGAGAATAGGACCAGCATTCATTTTGAGTTCAAAAAGGCTTTAGACGTGAGAAATGGCTTGGTTCAGACTGGAGATGCCCACTCTGTCCCATTCATGGGTCCTGCTTCTGTCCTTTTGTTTTAAGATTGAGATCTCAGGTTTCTTCTCCACAGAATCCCCAACCTCTGACAACCCCAAGGCAGCAAGGATACTGCAGGAGTCAGGCTGGACACCCACTTCTCTTCTGAGACACTATCCCAGAGAATTAGAACTGCGATTTTCATCTTATGGTTGTGATGTTTAACTCACTGAGTCTGCAGAAAGTATAGAAAGAGGGAGAAAGAAGAAAGAGAGGTTTCAGAGAAATGTCCATCTGAATCATTTATCCACATTTCATTCAGATTATTTCTCTTCATTGTTGTCCCATCATGTATTTTCTATCTAAGCATGGGGAACTCTAAAGACCTCGTGGGTGATTCTCATAGATGCCAAGTTTAGAAGCAGCCTAAAGGGGCTGGGAAGGTGGCTCAGTGGTAGAGTGCTTGCCTTGCATGCATGAGGCCCTGGGTTCGATTCCTCAGCACCACATAAGCAGAAAAAGCTGGAAGTGGCGCTGTGGCTCCAGTGGTAGAGCGCTAGCCTTGAGCTGAAGAGCTGAGGGACAGCGCCCAGGCCCAGAGTTCAGGCCCCATGACTTGCAAAAATAAATAAATAAATAAATACGGAAGCAGCTTAAAGCTGCTCCTGTTATCCACATAAGAGAACATTTGATTTCAAGTCTCAAGAAGAGTGATCATTTAAGTAGATCTGACAGTTTTCACAAATGAGAAATGAGTGTATGAAGAATGAGAAACCCCTTTAATAAAACGTCCTATATATACTGTCCTGTGTGTATCCTTGTTGCAATGGGTCATCCTGTGTCCTTGTTTCAGCTTTTTGTTATTCCCCTTCACCTCCCCAGATTAGACATCTGTATATACAAGATGCAGGATACCCAAAATCAAGTACAGTGACAACAGGGAATATGCCATATTGGAAAGAACATACAAAGGAAACAACAAAAAAAATCACATGGTACATTTGGGGGGAATGAGGTGGGTAGAGAGGCGTGTGGGAGGTAGGGGAGGAGAAGGATTGTGGGACAACAATAAGGAAGGGAAGGGTGACAATGACTGACAAGTAATGTACTCATTGCCTTACTCACGTAACTGTAACCCCTCTGTACAGCATCTTTATTTTAGAAAAACATCAAATAAATAGCTAATTCTCTACCTTTTAATGTTTTCTTTCAGCACAAAGCCCTTCTTTTTTTATTGTGAAAATACTGTACAGAGGGGTTACAATTACATGCGCAAGATAATGAGTATATTTCTTATCAAGCATTGGAGCCTCCTCCTTTGTTTCCCCATCCCATCCCATCCCATCCTCCCCCCCCACCCAATCCTCCCCGCTTCCCCACCACCACCACAGTTGTAAAGTTCGTTTTCAACATAATGACTTGTACATCTCATTGTTGCAATGGGTCCACCTGTATCCCTATTTAAACGATTTGTTTTTCCCCTTCCCCTCCACAAATTATACCAACAAACACAGTGAAAGCAGGGGTTATACTGTGAAAGCCCTTCATTTTAAAATGAAAGTCAAATATCTATTGAAAACAAAAACTGTGGTTGTTGAACCCTGGGCTTCTATGAATGAGTAGATAGTCAAGGCATTCAAAATAAGATTATCTTATTGTCAGAGGCAAATTTTAGTCCAAGCTTATATAAGAAAGACTTTTCTGAAGTATGGTCCCTCTATTTCTCATGGATGAGAAGAAAACATCTGAGCTCACAAGTTACCTGCTTTCCTTTCTCCTGGTTGGTCTCAAAGACTTATCAAGTATATAAGTAAATAAGTCAGTGAGCACTCTTCCAGTAACCAGGAGCCTTTACTCCTTCACAAAAAGTTCTCTAGTGTGGGCCCCTCGGACAGCAACATCACCCTGGAACTGATAAATTCAGCTTCTCAGACTTTCTCCCACTAGATCTACTAGGTCAGAAATGTTAATGTGGAACCCAGTCACCATTGCTTTCAGACACTTTCCTCATATTGCTCATGTACATGTAAAAAAGATCTCATTTGTTACAGCCATACCTATTCTAATACTGTACCCTAATGACTTGAAACTGCCAAAGTCTTCACTATTTTCAGACAGACTTCTAGCATCCCCCACAAATATCCGTATTCATCATTTTTAACTCCTAAGAACACTGAAGCCTACAAGATAGAATGCTATCATGTTGTTTTACAGAAAGGTCTATTTTTAGCAAATCAACAATACCTGCCTAGAGATACCTCAGTATCTTAGCTTACCTTAGCTATATGAATTAGGTTTCAGTTATTTTATTTATTATTTAGTTATTTTAGTTATTAATGCATAGAAGGGGCCTCCAGGTAGCCAGAATTGTGTAAGGGAGGAACATCCATTGGCAAGTGCTTCCAGGGTGGGTAGAAAATTATCACAGGTCATGAGAATTCTGGAGCGGCTCACATGAGCCACCCAGGGTCTTTGGGTGACTTTCTTACACTAAGGCTGGCTAGCTTGTCAGCTCTTTTCTGTCTCTTCTGTCTTTTAAAAGTTAGGCTGGGCACGGGTGGCTCACGCCTGTAATCCCAGCAACTCAGGAGGCTGACATCTGAAGATCACAGTTCAAAGTCAGCCCAGGAGGGAAAAGTCTATAAGATTCTTACCTCCAATTAACCACTAAAAGCTGGAAATGAAGCTGTGACTGAAATGGTAGCATGATAACCTTGAGCTAAAAAGCTCAGGGACAGCACCCAGGTCATAAGTTCAAGCCCCAGAATCAGCACACACACACACACACACACACACACACACACACACACACACACACACACACACACACACACACACACACACACACACATTCAAATATTTGAACAAGTTCTAGAAATGAAGTAATACCATGGTAGGAATCATAATTGTTTGACTTTAATGACAGTATTGTAAGTTACAAGTTACACAAGAAATCATTCCTGATTTTAGAAAACATAAAGGGGGCATTATTCTGCAACTTTGGAATGGCTCTGAGAAATACATACGTAAATAAAGGCAGGAAGCAAGAGGCGGATACAGCAAGTGAGAGAAAAGATTACCATTTAGGAAATCTACGTACTCATAAATTTTCTGTAGGTGTGAAATTATATTAAAACACAAAGTTAAAAAAATCAGCACAGGTTCAAACAGTAAATCCTCTTTTGCAATCCAGAACTCATTGTTGAGTATGTGTTTTGGTACATGTAAGAAGGAATAGGACTCCTATTATAGTTTGAAGTGAGGGAGGGGATTACTACTCAGGCAGGTTGGCTCAGAAGAAAGATGATATAAAAGAAAAATAAATAAATAAATAAGTAACCAATAAATAAGTTAAAAAACACCCATCCTCTGGTTTCTCACTAAGTGTCTCCCCCTGGAGATCTGTTACCAACCTCACACACAGCAGCGTGATTCTCTTCATCTTGGGCCTCTATTAGTTCAGCGAGGAAGTATTCACCATACGTTTCCTTCAGAATATTGTCATAGCGCATAAATATTGGCATGAGGTCATCATGGTCTTCCACCCTGTTTTTGACAGAAAGGCTTTAATTTGGTGTTGGTTTCATCATTTTTCCCCCTCAGTGGAGCATCTACCATGTGCCAGTCCCAGGTCTAAGTACCAGAGATACAGGAAAAAGGGACAATAAAATTGAAATGCTTTTCAATCATTTTCAACATTTCCAATCATGACATGTACCTTGGGATTAAGAATGACACAGTAAAGCGGTCAGGGAAGACCTGTGACTAGAGACATGTGAGATGTGGCCTGAATGAAGAAGAGAGGAATCTCTGCTGAGACCTAGACAGAGGTGGGCCATTCAGGAAGAGAGAACACAATTGGCATGTTGGTGGTGGGCTGGTGGAATGTTGGGCAACATTTGTTACCCATAAGCCAACATTTCCCACATGTTGCAAGGGTCACTATTTCTATGATATTGTCCAGAATCCTCTTACTATAAATTTCTTTTTAAAAAAACTCAATGCCTTCAGAATGTCAGAGTAACATATTTAACCTCATCCCTGAGACATCTCTACATTCTTGTGAAGAGAGAAATGTTGGTGGAGGTAACAAAGCCCTACTCACTATCCTGGAAAAATCCATCTCATTGTTATCCATCCAATCATTAATCTCTTGTCAATATTCTTGGGAAAGAGAGACACAGGGGTCCCTATCTAGACAGCCAGAATCGTTGTTATTTTTACTGTCACCTAGGTTCTGGCCATTAGTGATATTCCCTGGAGTGAAGCTGAAACAGGGAGCCAGAGACAAACATCAACTATACTTTTAGAGGATAGCTGCACTTTAAACACTATCCTTGACTACTGGTACATGTAGTTTTGTAGGTATGTCACTCTGAGAATTATCAATGGTCATCTGTGGCTGGGTACACAGAGGCTCCAGCAGGGTGACCTGATTATGACTTGAGCTAAGGAGTCATTCTACCTGGGCCAGGATCCTGCCTTTGCCAGAGAGTATGACTCTCTTAACCTCTCTATCACTGTTTCCTTGTTGGTCCTGGAAATAGTAACTATGAAGGTAGGAATATGTCTTAGTGTTATTTGTACTGTCATAATTATTACATAGGTAGAAAGGGCCAATAGAGCAATTAAAGGACATCTACAATCAGCAGGTGGGCTGAGAGAGTTCTTACTACAGAGGGTTCAATCACTGTGCTGGCTTCCCATTGGCAGGCACATGCAATGTCAGTCCACCTGCCATCACTAATCTTACAATCCTGTTTTTCTCATCTTGCTCCCTTAGTTAAAAATATCTGCATGTGGGGGGGAGGGGGGAGGCTGGGAAGGGATGGGAAGGGTAAACAAAGGAGGAGGCTGCAATGCTTGGTAAGAAATGTACGCATTATCCTGCCCATGCAATTGTAACCCCTCTGTACAGTTTGTTCACAAATAAAATAAAATAAAATTAAAAAAAAAAAATATCTGCATGTTCTCTTCTGTTTCTGTAAGGAGCACAAAGTCCTTTGCCTCCATGTTCCCACCCTTTTGCCATTACACAAACTGATCTACTTACTAACCCTAGAAAGCAACTTCATCTTCTTCCTATCTTGTCTCTATTCATCAGTACTGTGACTCCTTTGCTATTCCACATGCTAGCATCCTTTAAGCCTCACCCCACCCCATACTTCAGTCTTCTTCCCAAGAACTCAGCGTTGGCATCATCACTGGATGCATATTATCTAGTGTTAATTTCCCATAGACAAGGTGTGCTACATCTTTCCAATCACAGGAGACGATGATGATGATGATGATGATGATGATGATGATGTGTGTGTGTGTGTGTGTGTGTGTGTATGTGTTTTCTGATAGGGCATAGGAGAATCTCTGTACCATGCATAATAGCAGCAACAGCCACAGGACAGGGTCCTAACCACACATAAAACCTGGCCAAGGGCCCAAATACACTATCCAAAGAGGATGTGATTGCTAAGACCCAAGAGGTATATCTGGAAAGTTGGTACCCACAGTCCCACACTGGTGGCTCCATGGGTTTTCTAGCCTTCTGATTCTACCACTGAGAAACCAGCAGTTAAACTTCAACAGTAAACTTTGGTTTTCCCATCTGCAAAGGGGTATGGGGGGAGCAAGGGTAGCTGGGAGAATACAATTCTGTGTTCCAAATGATGATTCATTTAAACCTACTCTGCACACAGTAAGCACTCAGTAATTATCTATTCTCCACAGGAGACCTCAGAATTTTAGCTGAAAGAGCCTAGAAGACTCCCTCCCAGGAACAGTTAACTGCCTTCACATGGTTTTTCTCTGTAAAATGAATTCCTGATGTTAAAATATAATTCTAGAGAAGAATAGCCAACAAGTCCATTTTTTAGCCTTCCACTGAAAATCAAAACCTGCATCAATGCTTATTAACAGACATAATTATTTTACACAATGGGACAATACTTCAATATTGTAATTATTTTAAGTGGATCAAGATAGCAATCACACAAAATACTTCCCAATCAACTTTACTTATATGACTTTCACACACAAAAAAGTACTGTTCTACAGATACCAAAATCAGGAACTCGTATTAACACACTTGTGCATACTCAGATGTCAATATCAGTTCTTCTGGGGAAAACAAGAAGAAAACATCCAAATCACGGTGTTCTGAAGTCTCTCCCTTAAGCCCTTTTCCAAAATGGTTAGAGCAGGACTTGTTCAGTTAAATGCATTCCTTGGGGCAATTGATAATTTATGATCTTGCATCAGCCCAAGTGCTAATGATAAAGTATGACATCACCCTCAAAGTCTCAAATGGCTTATGACAAGGTCCAGCCTCACAGAAACAAAACACCTAGCTACAGAAAACCATCCATGCAATAAAATGTTTAAATGTGAGCTCTCAGAAGCAGTGAGCGTGGCCTGGGAATGGCAGGTGAGGACAGCCACCTGTCATTGTGAATTTGGCACTGCAGGACCAGGCACATACCTGCTACTTACAGCATTACAGAGTTCTGACAACAATGACTACTGTAATTCACCAGTACAAAGTAGGAAGGAAATAACCCAATCCTCTTGAGAGAAAAGCATGTCTTCCATTCAGATGGCATTGCAATCAATGATGGACTATTTTATTTGTTTAAAGGTCTATACTATGAAGACTTCTTACTATATTCACTCCATTATCCAAATGTCCAGCAGACTCTGAAAACTGTGCCAGATAAAAACAGAGTTGAATCCAAATCTCAAAATTAACAGCCTCTCGGGGATAGCTCGCTTTGGAAGATGGGTGTCAGCTAAACTCAGAATATGGCAAAATGAAAGGTGACCTGGTTGGTGGTTCACCCTGGCTTCATGGAAGGTGGGGAGAGGAGATAGATACAGAAAAGCAGATCATCACGTTCATGATGTCACTTTGCATTTTCAGGTGCATTGTGCTGCTGTGAAACCCACAGAACTTTCTCTAGCACCCTGGCAGGGTCTCTCAGTGACAAACAGATCCTCAAACTGCCTTACCACAGCATCCCAACTGCTCTGCTATGTAATTACTACCCTCAAGGAAAACGCGAAAGGATGATATCTCTAGTATGGGAGAGATGCACATGATGTCCTGCAAAACCACCATTGAAAATTCACAAATGGGAGGTTCATCCTTAAGGATTGTAAAGACAGCAGTGATAGACCACCTTCACATCAGAATACTGCAGTGTGTCCTCTCTCCTGTCTGATAGCATTTCCCATAACTAGAGAGGATTTGTATTTTAACCATCCTTAAAAAATGTAGTGCTGAAGAAGTGATTCTGTTGTCACTTGAAATGCCAGAAATAGATTAAATGTGTATGCACACACACATTTAAGAAATCAACAATGGAAGAAAAATGTATAGTAAATCCAGTGTAATGTTTTAAAAAAATTCATTGTTTTCTGGTCAAGCCAGACCCTTACAATGAGCACTCTCTCCACATGGGGGTAACAGAACTTACGGTAAGCACCAATAGATTTGTCGTTTTATTCAGAGGCAGAAAACAAAGCACCTTTACTTTCCAAGATCTCTAGTGACCTCTAGTGGTTTTCTTTAGGAAACCAAATTAATCATTTCTATACTACATACTCTTATTTTAGATCTTTATAGAGTTTTAAATGCCACAGTTTCCATTCCTTGGAAAGTACCATAATTTTAAAGGCTATGGAAGATTTTTTTAATTTCTGTGCTGGTTCTGGGGCTGAACTCAGGACCTGAGCTTTTGTACTCAAAGTTAGTGCTCTACCACTTGAGTCATACAACTCCAATTCTGGTTTTAGTGGTTAATTGGAGGTAACAGTTTCATGGACTTTCCTGCCAGGGCTGATTTCAAACTGTGATCCTCAGAACTCAGCCTCCTGAGTAGCTAGCATTATAGGTGTGAGCTACGAGGGCCTAGCCAGAGACGATTTTAAACTCAAACTTTCCTCAGGTTTTGAATGACTTCAAATGTGTGCCAGGCTAGAGGCCCTTCTATATCTACCACCAGGACCTAACCCAAGTCCTCATCTTGGCTCTACTGCTCCAGTTAGATCACCCACCAAACTCACCATTGGTGTGAGAAGATCACTGATGAAATTCTGTAATTGTTCCACTCTTTCTTTTGGAATATTTTAGGCTATTTATAACTTGGACGTTAAAAAAACTCACTCCTAAAAAATTGCTCAACAGTTAAATGTAAGTGGATTTTTAAAAAGAATGAGCCTGTCAGATGTTTCATAAAACTAATTGCCTTAATAAGTGAAAGTTGAAAAGCACCGATCTTATGTTTTAACTAATTTTTCATTTCTTACATTTAAGATTTTTTTCACTAGCATAATAATTTTGCATATTGATGGGGGTAAAGTGTGGTCATTTGATATATATACGCATGTGTAATGATCAAATCAGAGTAATTAGCATTTCCATTTCCTTAAACATTTATCATTTCTTTTGTGTTGGGAGCCTCTGAATGCCTTGCTTTTTTGTAAAGAACTAATTTTTCTTTCATCTTTAAAAAGCAATAAGCTTGAGCCAAGATTAATCACTGCTAGGGGGA